TGACCCTGTGCCACGGGGTAGTCCGGGACCGCCTGGAGACTGAGGCGCAGCGGAGGGGTGGTGGTGGTGGTGGGGCGGGGCTGGTGGTGGGGGCGACGGTCGTGGTGGTGGGGGCGACGGTGGTGGTGGGAGGGGGGTGGTGGTGCTTGGCTGAAATGTCGTAGGGGGGCGGGGAGAAGAGATAGTAACTACCTCTGTGGTCTGGAAAGCTGTGAACAAATATAAAATAAGTCATTGTTAGAAAGAACAGTTTTTACAGTTGAATCTATGTGGATTCACTCATTTACAAAAATTAAACCGACTTATTGTGCTTGTGTTTGCTTTATAGTTATAATTAGGGCCGGGCACATTAATGCATTAATTTCACGTTAACTAATTAATTCATAATCCCTGACAATTATTCAGTTTTTATTATTTTTTTATTGTAAAAGTCTGTTGGTCACAGACTTTTATTTTGAAAAAGACCATCATGAGCGAGCCTTGAATGTTTCTTACTGCTGCGACACTCACAGAAAGCGGAGAGAAAGCGAGATAAACAGACACGGAGAAAGGTGAGGAACTTTTACACGGCCATTTACTAGTGATGGGCAAATGAGTCGGAGCTCCGGAGCACGTCTCGTTCTTTCTGAAACAAATTGCTCACGTGACCAAAGTGTCGAAGTGTCGTTTTAAAGATTATAATCTGCGTCGTCAGGATCGTACAATTCTGTTATATGGCCGACCCGACCCCATCACAGTCAGGAGAGATAATGTGTGCAGAGAAAAAGGTTCGGCTACGTTCAGACTGCAGGGTTTGACGCTCAATTTGGATTTTTTTTGTGAAATCCGATGTTTTTGCGAGGTCGTTCACATTTCCAATTAAATGTGACTTGTATGTGACTCCAGTGGGAACATTAAACGGCCCGAAAGTGTCCCACATGTGCACTGGCGACACAACGACGTCAAACGCAGCGAGCGTGCTCTGTATTATTTTATTTATTTATTTATTACGGTCACAGGTATATTTTGACATTAATTCATAAACAGTCATATTTAACATATACAGACTGAAAAGGTGCAGGCTGAAGCTTAAGCTTATTATGCCTTTACCCTTTATTCCTTTGTTAGAGCTTCATCTTGACATCAGTTCATCTTCAAAAATACAGCAGGAGGAAACAAACGAATCAGTAACAGAACAACAAAGTACTACAGCACAAACTAAGTCTCATATTTCATGTATCTGTCCAGAGTTAAACCTTTAAACTCCTTTATGAAGTGAAAGAAAGTAGTGCTCTGTGTTTACGGAAGTTGTCCAAACATGGACGCGAGCATTGAGCACCTGGAGATTTTAAAGTTCCTCTCGTACCGGAGCCAGAACATGAACAACTTACTTGTTTTAAGGAGGAGATTGAGAAGGAGAAGGACGAGGTTTTTTGTGGTGTTTTGTGGGACAGTAGAAAGGAACGTGTGGATGTGGAGACGTAGCCAAGAGTAGTGAGTGGTGATGTGCTTCGCTTCAGTGACACGAAGTTCATTAACAAGTTTCATATGACGAGAAGACCGTTTGTGTACATTTGTGAGCGCCTACTTGTGCCACTCTCGCGGGAGGAAACACGTCTTCAGCGGCCTATTTCCGTGAGCAAACACGTCGGCGTTGGACTGTATTGGCTCACAACAGGTGTTTGTTACCGCACAAGCCAAGTCCACCATGTGATAACGTAACGTGTAGGTGGATGAATGCACTTTGGTCGTTCACACTGAAGTCGCATGTCAAAAGATCAGATATGTATCGGTTTTAGGAGCACATATCCAAGAGGTCTAGGTCGTATTTGAAAAAATTGGATCTGTGTCGTTCAGACTGTCATTAAAAGATCAGATACAGGAGCATAAGGGCCAAAAAATCGGATTTGGATCACTTCAGGCTGCAGTCTGAACGTAGTCTTAATGACCCCTGATTTAACATTTCTTAAATCTCACAAGAGTCCACTTGGTGTAATACAGGACAAGGACTAAAACCAGGATTAAACTAACACTAACCCAGAATAAAACCAGCTCTAAACCACGACTCACTCATCCAGTAAACAAGACTGAACGTTTAAATATTTATCTGATCTTGACTTGACCTGCTCCGATCAACACTTAGATGTAAAGACACATTAAATCACTGTATTAATAAAAGAGCCTTACCAATGGATCCCCAGAGCACGATAATCCAAAACATGGTGCAGCGAGGAGGGACCGGAGTCTACTGTGAGGTGAGCGCCCTGGGGAGGATGAAGAAGAGGAGCACAGGGAAGTGTTGAGAAACAGAGGAACTAATCTAGAGCACTAAATGCACTAGACAATACAAATAATTACAACAGACAATAGAAGGTTTAATCACACTGTTATTGGTATTTTGGATAATTCTACTTCTGTTTTTTTTTTTTTTTTTTTATCTATAAATAACTAAATAATTGAAATCACGTAACTCATCTGTTAAGGGCCGTTCACACCAAAGCGTCAAAAAAATGCCTTGACGCCTCTATTTGGGCGCCTTTGCATTTGAGTTTAGACGCCTCCGACGCGCGTCTTTGATGCCGTGGACGAACGGGATAAAAATACTTGACACGCGTCCGTTGCCTTGGAAACAAGAGCCCGATCCCGCTCTTTTCCCGAAACAATGTCAGACCAGACTGATAGAGTGTTTTTATGACATAAAACATCAGCGGAGGAGATCAGGTCGACGACTGGGGCGTATATATATTTATACTATACTGTATACTATATGCTAATGACACTGGATCAGTCCCGGTCTAGTCCTGGTCTAATACCGGTCTAGTCCTGGTCTAATTACGGTCTAGTCCCGGTCTAGTCATGGTTTAGTCTCGGTCTATTCAGGGTCTAGTCCTTGTTTAGTCTAGGTCCTGGTTTAGTCCTGGTCCGGAGTCCTTGCGATCGTCTCGGTGATTGTGGTGTAAATATTTATTCTCCACTCATGTTTGTGGCTCTCGTTCTGGTTCTCGGGTCTTGCTTCCTGATAATAATGTTGCTGCGTCACTGGATACTCGTCCCTGATTGGTCGACGCGGCGCGTCAGTTCAGCATTTTCAACTTCTTGACGCTGACGCCTTAGACGCGCGTCTAGACCGCCGACGCCAAAACGCTCAAGACGCGCCGCGTCGAGTCTAGTTGCGCGTCCACATTGACTTTACATAGAAACTGGACGCTTTGACGCCTTGGTGTGAACGGCCCTGTATATTTAAAGAACATGTATCATGCAAAATGGACTCTTTTGAGTTTTTAACCACATTATATTGTTTTACATGCTTGAAAATGAGATTGAGGACAGAACAAGTACAGCTGGAACCTCTGTGCTTTCTAGGGATGTATCCATCTAGCTTTTTCATTTCACTTTGACTTGAAGTATTGGCCATTATCCTATGTCAGGGATCTCCAACCTTTTTCCTCCGGTGAGCTCCTTTACAAACAAATATACCAGACATTTACTAATTTTTAGCCTGATTCATCAGCCGGTTTCAGTTCATAGAAACCGTCTGACCTCACAATGAGTGCGTATACATGCACATCAATAACCCGGTTATGATTGGGTTTTTTGAGTATCCCGGTTTCTTGATGGTGCATGTAAACGCAGTAACCCGGTTTCAGTAACCCGGTTATGGCAGTATCCCGGTTATGGCAGTATCCCGTTTATTAGTTATTAGAAACCGGGTTACTGTAGCTGGTTTATTCCGATAGTAACCGGGTTACTTGTGGCATGTAAACGCAGTATCCCGGTTACTGCAACATAAAGTTGAGTGTGCATGCGTCCAAAAGACACTTTCCAGTCTTTTCCCCACAACAGTAGCGACATAAATAAATTGACCAACATAAATAAAGTGACCACACGAGTAAAATTACTGTAAAATAAACAGCTGCGCTAAACCTGCACATGCACAATCTGCACTCGTACGACCTGCACTCTTGTGATCGCTGAAAAGCTAAAACATGAACTATCTCCAACATGGTATACGCACAGAACAGACTCACCATCATTAGCGCCTCTTCTGTCACAGAAATAACACACATAATCCACAGAGTCGTGTCATTTAGTCCAAAAGAATCTGATCACATCAGCAGCACAAGGAGAGATCTGTTTTTATCGCCGCTAACAGTTTATGCTAATTAGCGATGCGGTCTTAAGTTTTGTTTCTGTAAAACGTAAACAAATGTGATCAGAGCTGAATGATCTGATCAAACGGTCTGATGTGGCTCTACAGTGGTTCTGGTTTATATGTTGTAAAGTTGAGTTTATTTATGCAGAAGATTTTAATGAAGAATCTGTTGGTTTGATCTGTGCAGTGGATTGTGGGAGATCTCGTAGCTTCTTAGCTTCTTATGCTAAAGGAGCTCACGGTTTGTATTCTTCCTGGTTTATGAAATTGATTTAAGTTAATTTTTGAGCTCGTGCATTTGTAAGATTATGTCAAGAAACCGGGATACTCCATTTGATCATGTACACGCGGATATGAGTGTCCCGGTTTCTCAGTGCGCATGTAAACACAGTAACCCGAATACTGACAGAACCGGGATATGGCTAATAACCGGGTTATTGATGTGCATGTATACGCACTCAATGTTAGAATTCTTTCTCTCGATGGTAAGCGGGTACTTTTTTTATTTAACGAATCGCTGCTATTTGGTCGTGATGTATGTAATGCGCCGCAAACGGGGATAACTGGTATATTAAGCTTTTTCCAAATCTCATAGGAAGAAGGGCAATAACGTCTTTCCCCTTGATGAAATTAACTAAACATTCTCTTTGTTCTGACTTTAAATCCTCGATCTCGGGAATCGTTGACAACACAGAATGTATGGCTCTTCGCTGATTGGCTGGTGCCCGAACTCGCACTTCCGGGTTTTTGTAAACTGTCTAGTGTATTTCGATATAATTTCTGATCTTTTTGTAATTAATTTTATTTGATTTTTGATTCCAGTATTGCTGCTTCAACAGAATGTTGAAAAGAAAAAAATGGTCTACATTTAATATCCAAATAGTCAACTTACGGATACTTTTATTGCTGTTTTTCATTGTTTAAAACTTGAGTAAAACTATTTGTTCAGACACACGATCACTCAATCAACAATAAAATATCCTCATTAATGTTCAATAATGCTCAAATCCACCTTATTTTGTGATTTATGAATAATGTCAATTGACTTGGGTTGAGAAGGGTTGTGAGTTTTAAAATATGGATCCCCAGAAAAAAAAGAAAAAAAAAAGAGAAACACAGTCTTAAGGCTCTGGCCAGGCTCAGTGTGTCTGTAGAACCTCTGTTAAATCACTACAGGCTCATACAGTTTCTTTAAACTTCCTGTAACTTTTGCTTCAGAGTGCAGTGCTGCCCTCTGCTGTTTTCATCACTTCTGCACATGCTCACATAATAATAAAATACAATAAAAACATTTCAATCCAACATTTCCATTCAACACAAACTATAAACACTTTTCCCACAGACTGGATGTTTATTGGAAGCTGGTGTAGATGCCGTCGTCAGTGACGGTGTTGGGGTCCAGGTCAGTGTAGTTCTCGTTGGGGTTGCTGTAGTTCATGTACACATCTGTGTCAACAGGGGGCGCCATTTCTCTGTTCAACAAGAAGAAATGCTTGATTGACTCTGACATGTTATAATGTTGTTCCCTCCTGAAAAACAGACCTGGAGTTGTGTTTTGTTTCATTTACACATGTTTGAGTAACTTTATTATTAGTCTGTCTACATCTCCAAAGCTCCAAATGCTCTGTTCCACCTTGTGATGTCATGAAGTGGTAGTTTTCAAACATCTCCTTTTACCTAGTCAGGCTGGCATCACCTAGTGTCTCTGCTCAGTTTCATTTCTCTTCAGCGACTAGCTCAGGAATCGGAATACAATAGACCAAGGGTCATCAAACTCAGGCCCGCGGGCCAACTCCGGCCCTCCCTCTGTAACTTGTATTTTGTTGAAATTTTTCAATTAAAAAATATATACATTTAGATGAACTATTTATATTTATATTTAAATAATTACATGAAGTATTTACATTTGCCGCAGAATTTTCATCACCTGACAAGCTCGAGATCAAACAGTGACAGAGTTCTGTAGTGCAGTTAAGTACAGCAAAATGTCTCATTTTAAAGAATGAAAACTTGACAGAGAAAGACGAGTTTTCATAGAACGGCAGACGACAAATAATTTTTTTGTTCAGTGTGAGGAACGTGCAGTTTGTCTGATACGTAAAGAAAGTGTGGCGATTTTCAAAAAATATTATCCCCGTCGTCGGGGTCAAACAATTCTGTTATACGACCGACCCCGACCCCCATCACAGTCAGGAGCCAGAATGTGGCTCCCAGAGAAAAAAGTTTGATGACCCCTGCAATAGACGGTTTGCAAGAACCCTGGAAGTTGTAGATCGTGCACCAGCCAATGAGAGAAGAGCTGTGAAGCCATGACGTCAAACTCATCGTGTCTGTCTGTGTCCATTTTGTGGAACAGCACAACAGTAAACAAAGCGTCGAGATGGATGTAGACGAAGACAGACATCCTGTGTTGGCAACGATTCCCGAGATTGAGGATTTAAAGTCTGAACAAAGAAAATGTTTGGTGAATTTTATCAAGGGGAAAGACGTTATTGTCCTTCTTCCTACAGGATTTGGTGCATTACATATGTCACGACCAAATAACAGTGATTTATTAAATAAAAAAAGTACCCGCCCACTGTTGCGCAAACAAATCCTAATGCTGCGAGGTCACACGGTTTCCACGAAGTGAAACCGGCTGATGAATCATTCAAACTTTTAACTTAGTTCAGTAGAATTTGGCAATTCCAGTCCTAAAATCATCCAAATAATTCTACTGAAGGTGTATGGAGTTTAAAAACACAATGGAGCACTTCCTGTATCATCACATGACATCACAGGGTGGAGTGTTTTCTGTTTGCGAGAAAAACTCACGTGTGAATGAAAAAAAACAAAAATCCAGGTCTGTTTTTGATGAGGAAACAAGAGTAACAGTAACTTTTCTGGTGAGTGGTCTCTTTCTTGTCTTTGTTTTCTCCTTTTGGTTTCTGTTTTGCCTGGAATGTTCCACTGTATGGCATTAAAGTGGGGTTATTACACTTTTGTGGGGTTTTAACTGCTAACACGTCACATGTTTGGATCAGCATGTTACCTTTTTGAAAGTGTTATATTTGCTAAAAACAAGGCATTTTTATCAGGTTTGTGAAGTTGTTGTGTACAGTTTTGTATCATGTTTTTGTATATTTATAGAGAATTGTCAGAAGATGGGGGACGTAGGCTTGTGGGCGGAGCCTTGGACAAAAGAGGGTTTGATTAGGGCTCAGGAGAGATCTCTAAATTACTTAAACATGCCTGGATGACATCTAAAACATGTTTTTGATGAGGGAAAGATGTTATAACTCAATCCATTTATTTTGTTATGATCCAAAATACCTTCAAAGACATTCTCGTCTCATGGGCTCGCCTCTCCACAGATTTGACTTTGCTCGTCATGGAGACAAGCAGGTGGTGGACCCCTCACCAGAAAAGTGACATAGTGCAGCATAAAATAATAATGGAAATAATAAAAGAGCAGATGATGATGTTTACAGTGGAGACTTACAGGTCTTTGGATTTGGACGGGGCACCTGAAAAACAATAAGAAAGAAATAGTTTTAGGTGGAGTTTGGAAACTTTTCTGTGCATAAATTTTTTTATGCTGCGTGTGCAGACCAGGCCATCGAGACACCCATCCCCGACCGCTGCCCAATCCTCTAAGCACCCGACCCCTATGAACCCCTCTACAGGTGGTGAGCCCACAGGAGGGTGGACCCACGTCGTTCTTTCGGGCTGAGCCCGGCCGGGCCCCGTGGGCAAAGGCCCAGCCACCAGGCGCTCGCATTCGAGCCCCAACCCCAGGCCTGGCTCCAGGGTGGGGCCCCGGCTGCGCCATACCGGGCGACATCACAATCCTCGATATTTCTAAGTTCATAAGGGTGCTGTGAACTGCTCTTAGTCTGCCCCGTCACCTAGGACCTGTTTGCCACGAGAGACCCTACCAGGGGCATATTGCCCCGGGCAACATGACTCCTAGGATCATTCGGGTACGCAAACTCCCCCACCACGATAAGGTGGCAGTTCGGGGGGGAGAAAGCGAAGCTCTCGATTTACCGGTCAGTCTACGTTCCCACCCTCACCTATGGTCATGAGCTCTGGGTAATGACTGAAAGGACGAGATCACAGATACAAGCAGCCGAAATGAGTTTCCTCCGCAGGGTGGCTGGGTGTTCCCTTAGAGATAGAGTGAGGAGCTCAGTCACACGGGAGGAGCTCGGAGTAGATCCGCTGCTCCTCCACGTTGAGAGGAGCAGCTGAGGTGGTTCAGGCATCTGTTCCGGATGCCTCCTGGACGCCTCCCTCGGGAGGTGTTCCAGGCATGTCCCACCGGGAGGAGGCCCCGGGGCAGACCTAGGACACACTGGAGGGACTATGTCTCTGGGCTGGCCTGGGAACGTCTCAGGATCCCCTCAGAAGAGCTGGAGGAAGAGTGTGTGGGGGAAGTCTGGGAGGCCCTTCTCAGACTGCTGCCCCCGCGACCCGACCCCGGATAAGCCAAAGAAAATGGAATGGAAATTTTTTTATGAATGAAAATTAATGAAATCTAAAGGCCGCCCACACACTACAGGCTTTTTCAGTCTTAAATTATTTTTAAACATGCGATAAAAAGTGCAAACCACAGATACGAGGAGAATCTGATGAGACTTAAAATCTCCGATCTCAAAGACTGCAGTGGGAAATGTCCCGTCTACAGTAAAACAACTCACTCTGAGACTCTGAAGTGTTCAAAAGATCAGAGCTCTGCACTTCTAGTTTAGACACAAGTCAAAACTGTGTTACTATTATTTGAGAAATGTGTGGCAATACTTCAGATACATGATTTTAAAAGCATAAAAGATTAACTTTAAAGTCCACAGGAAGTAGAGTCTCTATCGCTAATCTGCAGCTTCACCTCGATCTGTGCGCTGTGTGAATGTAAACAAACACACATGAGGAACTACTGAACCTGTTCTGGTCATAACCATTTTTAAGACAGTAAAAATCATTTACAGTGATTTAATTTGAGAACTTTAATAGAACTTCAAACCGTGAGCCTTGATATAGTTTTGAAAAGATTATGAAATAGTACAAAATACAGCCAGAGGTGTTTGACGCTGTGGTTTGAACACAGATCTTTTATTTTTGTATTTAGGCACAGTGCTGTTTGTTTATACTCATTTTCATACATCTGAAAGTCAAACATTATTTCTAAATATCTCTACTTACCTGTGGAGATGTTCAGAGAGGTTTCTGTGGTACTAAACTTCGGCCGGAACAACCAAACGAGCCCCGCCACGACCAGAATCAGAGCCAGAGCCGAGAGGATGAAGCCAGCCACGCCCAGATTATCTAACACTACAGACGAGAAGGATGAAGAATTGAATGGATTTAGTGATTTGGAGTGAGATGGAGAGTTTGGTAAACTTGTTCTGTTCTGTTGTTTATGTTATAGTTTATCTGATGAACTGTTCATATGTGACGTTAACAGTCTGTTGTTCTCTCTTCTAATTTTTTTCCAAGTTTATAGAACTTGGCTTTCAGCATGAAATGTCGGTTCTTGGTCTCTGATTTTATAAAATACATTTACCCCAAAATGCGACTTATAATCTTTTATATGTTTTATTCTTTTCTTTTTCTTTTTTGGCTGGTGCGACTTAGCCTGATTCATCGACGATTTAACTTCTTAGAAACCGTCAGACCTCGCAGCATTAGGATTCGTTCGCTTGACAGTAGGTGGGTACTTTTTTTATTTAACCAGTCGCTGCTGTTTGGTCGTGACGTATGTAATGCACCAAATCCCATCGGAAGAAGGACAATAACGTCTTTCCCCTTGATAAAATTCATCAAACATTCTCTTTGCTCCAGCTTTAAATCTTCGATCTCGGGAATGTCTGTCTTCGTCTACATCCATCTCAACGCTTTGTTTACTCTTGTGTTGTTCCACAAAAAGGACCCAGACAGGCGCTTGAGGCTACGTTTATATGATGTCGGTCTGAACAGAAGACGCAAAAGTGGCGTCGCATCTTCACTTTTTATTCCTCATGTAGATGAACATTTTCGGGAAGAAATCTGCGTGCATACGGTGACACAAAAGTGTGTGGAATTCGGTTGGGTATACATGCCAGGCAGATCGGTGGTGACACTCGGTGTTGATGTGATGTGACGGAAACGTGTACACAACCTGAGCAGATCTGACCAGAGTTTTGCGTCTTGAGCAGTGTAGACGGAAACACTACAGCGGAGAGTATTCAACTTTTCCAATCTGGAGGGTGATTTCAGATCTTTGTGTTTTTAAGCCTCAAATACGCTGTCACCGTCTAAACTAAAGGCACTTCCCATAAAATATTTTGTCGTTTTTACCTGCAAGCGTTCTCGTGTAAATAGGCCCTGAGTCTGACGTCCTGACTTCACAGCTCTTCTCTGATTGGCCGGTGCGCGGTCTACAACTTCCGGGATTCTTGCAAACCATCAAGCGTATTCCGATTCCTGACATAATCACTGGTGAGAAATGAAGGCACAAGGTGGCGCCAGCCTGGCTTGGTGCGATTTATACTCTGGAGCGACTTATAGTCCAGATAATACAGTACCCCCTTTTACAAATGCTGAAACATTGTTCATATATATACCACTGGCCTCAGCTCACGGCTACGATTATGGAGCCTGATATTCCCTCGGTCTTTTCCAGAACTGATCGTGTGCACCATGGCAGTGTGTGTGTGTGTGCTTTTGTACATTTTGTAAGTTAAATTGTGTCTGACATGCAAAAATTACAAAAAAGTTAAAAGTTAAAAAGAAAAAACATGGTCCATCATTTGTTGAAACTGTCAGGGTATAAAATAAATAGGTCTGTACATAAGAATCTGAAGTAAAAAGTAGTAAAAAGCTCCAGTGGATTCCAGGCTTTAGACCACAGCATTGGTGTTGATGAGTTTTTAAGACAAACTGGAGATCATTATTTCACCAGGTAAAGAAAACAAATATTGTCTAATAACTTGAAAACAGACCTACCGGTGTTCTGTACGGACACGATCATTACAGATTGACTGTTGCTGTAAATGTAAAAATTTCTGTAGTCCCTGGCGCGGCATTTGTAGTCACCGTTCTGCTTGGGATGGGTCAGCCTCAGCTCCGCTCCTGTGCCCACCTCTGTTACTGAAGTAGGCAAATAGTGAAACCAGGAAATCGAACTGTTAACCTCACCGCTCTTGACCACGCACCGCAGCACCACATCCTGACCCTGTGCCACGGGGTAGTCCGGGACCGCCTGGACACTGAGGCGCAGCGGAGGAGGGCTGGTGGTGGGGAGGGGAGTGGTGGTGCTTGGCTGAAATGTCGTAGGGGGGCGGGGAGAAGAGATAGTAACTACCTCTGTGGTCTGGAAAGCTGTGAACAAATATAAAATAAGTCATTGTTAGAAAGAACAGTTTTTACAGTTGAATCTATGTGGATTCACTCATTTACAAAAATTAAACCGACTTATTGTGCTTGTGTTTGCTTTATAGTTATAATTAGGGCCAGGCACATTAATGCATTAATTTCACGTTAACTAATTAATTCATAATCCCTGACAATTATTCAGTTTTTTTTTATTTTTTTATTGTAAAAGTCTGTTGGTCACAGGCTTTTATTTTGAAAAAGACCATCATGAGCGAGCCTTGAATGTTTCTTACTGCTGCGACACTCACAGAAAGCGGAGAGAAAGCGAGATAAACAGACACGGAGAAAGGTGAGGAACTTTTACACGGCCATTTACTAGTGATGGGCAAATGAGTCGGAGCTCCGGAGCACGTCTCGTTCTTTCTGAAACAAATTGCTCACGTGACCAAAGTGTCGAAGTGTTGTTTTAAAGATTATAATCTGCGTCGTCAGGATCGTACAATTCTGTTATATGGCCGACCCGACCCCATCACAGTCAGGAGAGATAATGTGTGCAGAGAAAAAGTTTGGCTACGTTCAGACTGCAGGGTTTGACGCTCAATTCGGATTTTTTTGTGAAATCCGATGTTTTTGCGAGGTTGTTCACATTTCCAATTAAATGTGACTTGTATGTGACTCCAGTGGGAACATTAAACGGCCCGAAAGTGTCCCACATGTGACACTGGAGACACGACCTCAACGCGAGTGTGCTGTGTGTTTACGGAAGTTGTCCAAACATGGACGCAGCACTGAGCACCTGGAGATTTTAAAGTTCCTCTCGTACCGGAGCCAGAACATGAACAACTTACTTGTTTTAAGGAGGAGATTGAGAAGGAGAAGGACGAGGTTTTTGGCCATGGTGTTTTGTGGGACAGAACGTAGGAAGGAACGTGTGGATGTGGAGCCAAGAGTGGTGAGTGGCAATGTGCTTCACTTCAGTGACACGAAGTTCATTAAGTAGTATGAGTATTTGTGAGCGCCTACTTGTGCCACTCTCGCAGGAGGAACCACATCTTCAGCGACCTATTTCCGTGAGCAAACACGTCGGCGTTGGACTGTATTGGCTCACAACAGGTGCTTGTTACCGCACAAGCCAAGTCCACCGTGTGATAACGTGTAGGTGGATGAATGCGCTTTGGCCGTTCAGACTGAAGTCACATGTCAAAAGATCAGATATGTATCGGTTTTAGGAGCACATATCCAAGAGGTCTAGGTCGTATTTGAAAAACTTTGATCTGTGTCGTTCAGACTGTCATTAAAAGATCAGATACAGGAACATAGAGGCCATAAAATCTGATTTGGGTCACTTCAGGCTGCAGTCTGAATGTATGTAGCCTCAGTGACCCCTGATCTAACATTTCTTAAAGCTCACAAGAGTCCACTTGGTCTAATACAGGACAAGGACTAAACCAGGATTAAACTAACACTAACTCAGAATAAAACCAAGTCTAAACCAGGACTCACTAATCCAGTAAACAAGACTGAACGTTTAAATATTTGCCTGATCTTGACTTGACCTGATCAACACTTAGATGTAAAGACACATTAAATCACTGTAATAATAAAAGAGCCTTACCAATGGATCCCCAGAGCACGATAATCCAAAACATGGTGCAGCGAGGAGGGACCAGAGTCTACTGTGAGGTGAGCGCTCCGGGGAGGACAAGAAAGACGAGCACGGGGAAGTGTTGAGAGACAGAGGAACTAATCTAGAGCACTAAATGCACTGGACAATACAAATAATTACAACAGACAATAGAAGGCGTGACGTTTTATCACATTGTTACTGGTATTTTGGATCATTCTACTTCTGTTTTTTTGTTTTAGTCTATAAACATAAATCATCTGTTATATTTAAAGAACACGTTATCATGCAAAATGGACTCTTTTGAGTTTTTAACCACATTATATTGTTTTACATGCTTGAAAATGAGATTGAGGACAGAACAAGTACAGCTGGAACCTCTGTGCTTTCTAGGGATGTATCCATCTAGCTTTTTCATTTCACTTTGACTTGAAGTATTGGCCATTATCCTATGTCAGGGGTCTCCAACCTTTTTCCTCTGGTGAGCTTCTTTACAAACAAAAATACTAGACAGTTACTAATTTTTAGTCTGATTCATCACCCAGATTCACTTCGTAGAAACCGTCTGACCTCGAAGCGTTAGAATTAATTCACTTGACGATAAGTTGGTACTTTTTTTATTTAACCAATCGCTGCTATTTGGTCGTGATGTATGTAATGCGCCGCTAACGGGGCAAACTGGTATATTAAGCTTTTCCCAAATCCCGTAGGAAGAAGGACAAAAACATCTTTCCCCTTGATAAAATTCACCAAACATTCTCTTTGTTCCGGCTTTAAATCCTCGATCTCAGGAATCGTTGCCAACACAGAATGTCTGACTCTTCACTGATTGGCTGGTGCCCAAACTCGCACTTCCGGGGTTTTGGCAAACCGTCTAGTGCAGGAGTGTCAACCTCAAATTCACAGAGGCCAAAATTAAAAACTGGGACTAAGTCATGGGCCAAACTAAATATTTATTGAAAACTTTCAACAACATCTGTATGTTTTCTCTTCTCTCGAGATATGTAATGTTAAATCTATTCTTATTAAAATAAATGTTTAATAGTTATAGTAATAATAGTTTTGCTTAAACATTGAATCCAGAACAAGCAGAATATAAAGTAATAACATCATTTTAAATAAATAATGTCTCTATAGTCGATCTGTAGCCGGTGGGCAGCTCTAATATTTATTTGATATGATCTTGCGGGCCAAATAAAATTATATCGCAGGCCAAATTTGGAGCCGGGGCCTGAGTTTGACATGTCTGGTCTAGTGTATTCTGATTTCTGATCTAGAGAGAAATGACACTGAGCGGAGGCACTAGGTGACACCAGCCTGAATAACTCATTTTAGCGGCTGCAAGAAATTGAGACGATTATAAGAAAGAGGGCGAGACTCTGGTACTGTTAGGAACCAAGAAAACATAATCCATATTTAATTTATTAGTGCACGTTGGGCCTCAAATTTATACATTTACAATGGGAACAGGCAGGTAATTAACCAAATTTTAGTTTTTCAGCACAATGGTATGATTTCCTTGGTGAGCTACTTGGAAAAGGGTGGAGAGCTACAGGTTTTAGACTCCTGCCCTATACTAACCAGTACCAGTGAAGAGATGGAAATGTCCCTTATTTCATTAAAACAGTTAACTTTTTACACAAGAGATCCAGTTGTGCTACATATCTGTTTTTATCCTTCATATCACTACAGAACAAGCTTGTATCTGCTGTTCTGAGCCAAAATCAGATTGTAAGTACAGTATTATTACATCCAAGTAAAGGCCCAGTCACAAGTTTGACTTAGCTGACATCATGATACTGGGAGTGTGCCTATGTTCACTCATGTCTAAGGCCAAAATTAGGCCCTATTTTCCTCCGCTCAATTTAATTTTTCTCCAGCGACTAGATCAGGAATCAGAAAGCACTAGACGATTTGCAAAAACCCTGGAAGTTGTAGAGCGTGCACCTGCCGAACAGAGAAGAGCTGTGAAGCCATGACGTCAAACTCGTGTCGTCTGTCTGTGTCCCTTTTGCGAAACAGCACAACAGTAAACAAAGCATCAAGATGGATGTAGACGAAGACAGACATTCTGTGTTGGCAACGATTCCCGAGATCGAGGATTCAAAGCCAGAACAAAGAGAATGTTTGGTGAATTTTATCAAGAGAAAAGACGTTATTGTCCTTCTTTCTATGGGATTTGGAGCATTACATACATCACGACCAAACAGCAGCGATGGGTTAAATTAAAAAAGTACCTGCCTCCCATCGAGCGAACGAATCTTAATGCTGTGAGGTCAGACGGATTCCACTAAGTGAAACCGTCTGATGAATCAGGCTAATATTAACCAGTACCAGTGTAGAGATGCAAAATGGCCCTTATTTCCTTAAAACTAGATTGTGCTCCGGCCGAACAGAGAAGATCTGTGAAGCCATGACGTCAAACTCGTCCCTTTTGTGGAACAGCACAACAGTAAACAAAGTGTCGAGAAAGAAAGACAGATATTTTGTTGTAATGCTATGTAATGATTTTCAATTATGGGATATGTTTTCTACATATTATTATTATTATTATTTTCTCTTATGAGGTGGATTACCAAAAAACTCCATCCGTCTGCTCCAGGTCCAGCCCTTCAGTCAAATTTTAGAACCCTATGTGGCCCCCGAGCCAAAAACTTTGCCCACCCCTGATATAGATGAAGACAGACATTCTGTGTTGGCGATTATTCCCGAGATCGAGGATTTAAAGCCGGAACAAAGAGAATGTTTGGTGAATTTGATCACAATCAGCTGCTCCGGAACAGGTGGAGGCCTGAGCTTCCACTGACTCCTGCTTTTCACTAATGCACGAGTCCAGGAGGCCGCCTGGCGAGTTCTGCTTCTCTCAAAACCTGTGGACTTCCCGCTCCATTTATTGTGTGCTGGGAATTGGCCGAATAATTGTCAGAATAAATCTATATTTAAATCTCAGACAGGGGAGAGCAGGTTACACATACAGAATCTCAGACTAGTGGGTCGAAGCTGCTGAAATTAAAATTAATTATTGATGTTGCACAGAAAAACAATGGACTTTTCATTAGATGTATTTTCAGAGTTGTTTTGTGTTCTATTTTGAGATTTAGATTACATCAGCATTAGCATTTAGACACAAACACCTCATTATATACACATAAAAGCTTCCTCATAGTAAAGTTCTAAACACACTGTCTGTGATCACGTGTGTGTAATGTGCTTTCCTCTGTCTGATATTTAAATACAGATTTATTTATTTATAGATTATTTTAACATGACACAGTTAATTCCTAATACATAATGAACAGAGCAGGAAGTGAGACTCTCTCAGTTTAACAGAAGTGGAACTAATATTGTGGATATTGTGCGAAATACGGTCGATTGCTTTCGGGGAATGTTCCAAGGTATGACATTAAACATATAAAAGTGACAAAATGCATCGCACACTCAGATGACCGATGTCGAAAAGCCTTTTTTACATTTTTAAATAATGTTTTGGGATAAAAGAATGAGAAATTCGCACATGAATTACTTGAGGTGGGTGCGTTGGAGCAGAGGGAGCAGCCCCAGAACATGGAGAAAAATCCTGCACATCGTTTTACTTGCAAATTGTGAGATTTATTAGGACAAACAAACCGTAATATTAATAAATAATGTTTTGGCAAAAAAAGCCTTTGTCAGATCATTTTTCTTGCTTTGGACAAAAAGGTTGCCAGGTCAGGTGCTCATATATTCACCAACGAATGCAAGATCCCAAAGTCAGTGCTGATATGTCGTAAAAAGAGACAGGATGGTTGAAATGTACAAAATGAGCTGCCACCGGAGAGTTCATGTTTTTAAATCTGATCCTGTGCTCCTGTGCTCTACACTGAACAGGTAAAACTGCCCCCTAGAGGTGAAAATCTGGAAATACTCCTGTCTAAAAAGAACACTTCTGAATTCACCGACTTAAGACTCTCCTTCCTTACAGACTTAATGTGGACTTTAACCTAAGATGCTTTTTATGATATGATCAGACTATTTCTGTATTTCATGAGAATGTTTTAATGTAAATATATAACTGTTTTTTCTAGTTGTAGAGTCTGCTGAACTCACTGGGTGACCTCACTTTCGTTGGTGGGGAAATGAGCATCTGAGCTGGCAACCATTTTGTACACTGTGGTCCAAAGCAAGAAAACTTATCTGACAAAGATGTTTTGCTGAAACTTTATTTAAAAATAAGAAAAGTTTCTGGACATCAGCTGTCTGAGTTCACGTTTATATTGCTGCTCCTTGCATTTGCACCTCTACAAGAACTTTGATGGTGCATTTTCTGTTTCATTTGATGACACTAAACACATCCATCTTACATTTATTCATTGTGGGTGTTTCTATTGCTCAAAATACAATAATTCCTTTTGTGAATAGAGGCGACTCTCCACAGATCTGAACTGTAATGCATAGTTCTGTAATCTGTTTGTCTCCCTCGTGATAAATAGGTTTAATCTACTGTGGAACATTCTAGACCAGGGATGTCAAACATACGGCCTGGGGGCTGGATCCGGCCCTCCAAGACCTTTAATCTGGCCCTCGGCTGATTTTCTACTAAAATATTTAAATTATATTTTCTATTAAAATCTTGTTAATTTTCTGTGGTGTTTATCACAGCAGCGTCTCCAGCGTCTCTGTACGTGGCCCCTCCCACCAGAGCAGCACAAATGAAGACTTGTCTCTTTCCAAACGCTCTTAAAGGACGATCGTTTTGACTGTTGACCGTGACACCCTCATCAGAAAAATGTCCAACATGAGAAAAGTGGAGCCGAGTGCAGGATTTTCCAAAAAATAAAAATAAAAAAATAAAATTCACTTATTCCTATTTGCATACAAGTTAACGTTAAAACATTGTTCAGGTTTTAGGTTGTTCATAATGTTATAATATTTTGTAAAAGAAAGAGTTCATCAATTAAAAAAGATTTCTGTAATAGATTTGCGTTTCTCTGCACAAATATTTGAACTTATTGTTATTTTTGGGGTTTATATGACATTAATTTACGTTAGATCAAAATGAGTTTGACACCCCCTGTTCTAG